GGGAGCTAAGTGCTGGGTCCCAGGCCCTGCCTGCACCTTATTACTGGGAGGAAAGGAAAAGTTGTTTCTATTTCCCTGTGGGTTTTTACACAGGCTGTTTCCACATTCCACACCAACCAAGGGAATAAACTACCTAAACTGCTGAGCCTTCTTTGGGTACTATAGATCAGCCTCAAGAAAGCAAGCCCAGAGTGGCACCCCTGTCCTCAGGGAGCACCCAGGCTGAAAAGAGAGAATCCATCCCTGCCCTTGGGGACACTGACAGAGTGACGTGACTAATAGCCCCTCATTCATTCATTAAACAAGTACTCTATTGATTGAGCCCCTCTTAAGTAGAAATTACTTTATATTCATTACCTAATTTAATCCACAGTAACACCTGGGAGATAGATTTTACCACGCCCACGTGACAGACCACGACAATGAGGCCCAGAGAGGTCAAGCAACTTGCACAGGGTCACAGAGCCAGAAAACACTATCGATGTCAAAAGTACAGCCCAGCTCTGTCTGATCCCAAATCCTCTTCTCCTACACCCTGTGGCCAGTCACAACAGCAACAATAGCTGACCCTTTGGGAGAACTCGCTACATGCCGGTCACTGCCCTCAGTCCGTCCACATTTCTCCGGGCCTCAGGTATCATGGTACCTGTTTAATAGACAACAACTGAGTCTCAAAAAGTAATTTTGCCCCAAAACACGTCTAGAAGTTGTCAGGGTTGGGCCTGTGTTTAGGGTTTGGGTTTTGGACATCAGGGACCCAGAATTACCCGTCGGGATTTGAACCCAGGCACTCGGGCCAGGCTAGGCCAGAAGTGACCCAGTGTTATCATTTCTGTGGCTGCCAGATAGCAGGTTATTAATAGCTGGGAGGTGTTTATTATTGCTGAACAGTCAGCAGCTCCCGGAGGGGAGCGCAGGGTCATGGGACTACAGCCAGGTCAGCCCCCCTCCCACCAGCCCCATGGGGGCTCATCCTGAGAAGGCGGATCGCTCAGCTGGGTCCCACAGCCCCGGGAAACCTTACCCAACCAGGCGGCCACCCCGTGACTGGGAGTGGTGACCCCTGTCACACTTGTGAGTGTGCGAGCTGTGTGGATGGTTCGTGCGGAAGGAGACCTGTGACCTGGCGTCTTGCTCCGGGTGAGAGGAGGCGGCGAGGGTGTCTGCCAGGGGCTGGCCTCCCCACGGTTCCCAGACTCAGGGGCCCAGCAGGCCCTGAATCCAAGCCCAGCATCCTCTCTCTTTCTCGAGCTGGACAGAGAGGAGCAAGGATGGAGCAGCTGGGAGGGAAACCATGGGGAAGGAAGCAGAGACACCTGGGGTGGGGGTGGAGATTCTTCTGGAAGCCAAAAGCAAACAGATATGCAAACACCCTCTCTGAATTACTTCCCTGGAAGCCATCTTCCTGCTGCCTCCCCAGGAGATGGCAGCTCCCAGCTCTCAAAGTCCCAGGGAAAGCATTCTTCTCCCTGCCCCATCCCAGAGCCCCGCTCCCACCCCACCTGTACCACAAACCTTTCCCCCAGAGATCCTGGAGCCCTCCTGGGAGGGCTTCTGCGATGGACACTCCTGAGGGCCTGGCTTGCCTGAGTCCTCAGCAGGGGAGCAAGGATGTACACTTGCAAAGATGGGTATAAAACCCAGTCATGGTATTTTGGTTTAAAAATTAAAAAGTGAGGAGGGAGAAAAACAACCAAATTATACTAAAGTAAGAGAAGAAAAAGGCATTGACGTGGGCACTAGAAATAACAACATAATTATAGTGACCATTGTGAGCACACCCTACATACCAGCCACTGTACTGGGTACCTTCACACGTCAACATCACTTCCTCCCCTCAAGCTCAAGGGCAGGTATGATTGTCCCCATTTTGGAGGTGAGAAAGTCGAGGCCCAGAGAAGTAATTTGGCCAGCAGCAGACCCAGGATTCCAACCTAGATCTGTCAGAAGTCCTGGTGGGGCTTAGGGCAGCCCAGATCAGGCTCTGCAGAGGCAGCAGGCAGGGTGTTTGAGGAGAGGTCCCTAAGGGCTGGCCTCAAAGGCCATCACCCCACCTCCTGGGGACTTCTGGCCTCCGGATGGCTGCACCAGCTGCAAATGGGGTGGGAAGTGGGGACACAGTCTCCCCACAGGGAGCCCAAGGAGGTGATAGAATGGGGTTCTCAGAGGAGACAGGCAGAGCCCCAGGAGGGAGGTACGTGCTGGCATCTGCCCCACTTGGAGCCAGACCTAGGGAGCATCAGGGGATGCGTGGGGAAACATCACGGCCCAGCCACCCTTGGCTCATAACAAATAGAGAGAAAAGTCGGGCAGGGACTGCAAACGTGCACTGGGAGGTGAGGGAGGGTTGCAGGCCCCCAAAGGGCTCATCAGGCACCAATATTCCATGATTCCAAACATCTACAGCAGCCGTATGAAGGCGAGGGTGTGCCTTCCTGAGAATGGTGTCCATCTTAATCAACAAAGAAATGTCTGATGGCAGGGATTCTGTCTCCTCCCTCAAACGAGAAACTCTGGGAAGGCAGGAAGCACCCTGAAAGCAAGGACCATGTCAGCCGCCTCAGACTGGGAGCTCCCTGAGGGTAGTACTTATACTTTCTTCACTAACAGACTAACCACCCAAAGGCAAATGCAACCTTTGAAAATCTGTTTCAGCTCTCGGTCCTCTGGTCCTGAGGGGACCCAGGCCCGGCCTTCCTCCTATAGGCCCCTAGGCCTGACGGGTCCTTTTCCTTTGAATCCCTGTTCCCCTCGGTTCTAGCTCATCCACCTTTGGAGTCACTCCCATCTCCTCCTCTGCAGAGGCTCAGCCAGGCCCTATCTTTGCCTTGCATTTTCCCTTTCCAGGCAGATTATGAATATTCACTGATTCCTTCCCTGCCCTCCCCTGTTCCCCATATCCTGATGGATAATGTCCTGTGGATGCAGCTGAATTATCTTCCTCCCAAGAACTCTGAGGCCAACCTGGTGGGGCCTCCCAGAGGTCATCTCGTCTGGCCCCCATCTTTAGGGCTAAAGCCAGCCCCGGTAAGTGAGAGCCCATTCTGCACCAGGGCATAGCCCATATGGCTGCTATTCCATAAATTCTGTAGGTTGCGAGGTAGGAAGGAAGGAAGGGAAGGACAAGATTCCATAGCCTTTTCCTCCAAATCCCTTGTGCTTCTCTCTCTGCCAGTTCTTCTCAGCCTCTAGCCTCTCTCCCTCATGCTATAGATGAGGCCCACTTTCTTTTGGTGAGGCTTCAATAAAACTGACTGGCTCTCCTCAATCTAGATATTTGGACAATACTTTGTCCTGCCTGGGTCAGCCCTTGCCCTGAGTCTTCCCACCAAGGCAGACTGCTGCTGGTCTCTGACTGCTTTATAAATATCCTTCCTTCCTGGAACCTCCCTCCACCCCCTGAGACCATCATGCATCCAGCTAAGACTTATGGATGGGAAGGGACAAAGGTCCTAGCCCCAAAGAAATGACCATTTAGTTAGATGGTTCAGATATGATTGGTGAGTAACAACTACCCCAAAACATCATAGTCTGAAACAACAACAGCCATATATTTACTCACAACCCTGTACATCTGGGCAGGAGATTACTTCCCTCCTTTTTGTGTTGTGCAAGAGTGGCTCACCTGGGGCTAGAGAATCCAAAATGACTTCACTCACACGTCTGGGGCCTCAGCTTGGGGTGGTTGGAACAGTTGGGGGCAGCCTGAGCCCCTCTCTTTCTCTCTACGTGGCCTCTCTCTCCAGCAGGGTAGTTGAACTTCCTTACAGCATGGCAGCTGCCGGCTAAGAGGGAAAAAATGGAAACTGCAATCTCCCTCAAGGCCGAGGCCCGAAAGTCCCAGAACATCTGTTCTGCCACATCCTCTTAGTCAAAGCAAGTCATAAGGCCAGCCCAGATTCAAGAGAGGAAGAGTAGACTCTTTTTCTTGCAGCATGCAGGCGTAGGGGTGGAAAGCGCTGCTGGCAGCCATATTTGGACCCAGGCCACCACAACGGCACTAACACGTGAAACTGATCCAGAATCACCAAGTTCTGTACGGATCCACCCAGCCTCCTTACAGGAGGAAAGAGTAGGCTGTCAGCTTCCTTGGAGAAGAAGTACACAAAGGCCTTTGGGGCTGTGGCCAGGGTAGGTTGCCCCTTAGGAAAAGGGGAAAGGGGCTCAGGCTGGGCAGAGCAGAGGTGAGAAGGAGCGCTATGTCTCCAGGGAAAACAGTGGCCAGACCAGAGGGGAGGGTGTGAGTCCCACAGAGGGGAGAAAGGCTGGGACATCTTGGCACTGAGCCTTGAGAGGTCCTTTGGGAAGGCTGCAGGGGGTGTATGAGCAGGTCTTATACAACTGGGGGATGCAGCGTGTTCCTTTTATCCTTCTTTTTCTCCAGAGTCTATTTAAAGACTGTTTCTGTCTTCCAAGGCTGCGTGTTGCAATCTCTTCCATCTTAGGTTTCAGATCTTCTACTGATGAGCCCAGGCCCTGGAGACATCTCTTGCCTTGCCACGCTTGGGGAAATATGGATTTCAGCCCTGGGTTTGGCCACCACCACATCCTCCCCCGTCCCACTTTTCTTCTGCCTGTTTGTATTCAGTCTAGACGATTCATTTTTATTTGTTGATGTTCTGCCCTAGCCTGGGGCAACTGTGGTGAGGTGGGAAGAGCACTGCAATCGGAGTCAGGAAAGCTGGTTTAAATTCTGGCTTGGCCATTTACTGGCTGTGAGTCGATTCGGGCAAGTTATTTACCCTCTCTGACCCTCATCTACCAAGTAGAACTAATGAGCCCCGTCTCCAGGGTGGCTAAAAGGAGGAGACAGGGCCTGGCACAGGGGAAGAGGCCTCTCTGTCCCTCACCCCCACCACCGACTCTGAGTTCCCCTCTCCTCACCCAGCCCTGCTCAAGTCTCCACCTGTCAAAAAGCCTGTCTACCCACCACTCCCGCCAGTGCCAGCCATCACCTACCTCCATAGTCTTGGGATAAAACAAACCCTCAGTCACCAGGCTTCAGTTTCAACAATGTCAGTCAGATAACAAATGTTTATTGAGCATGTCCCAGGCACGTTCTAGGAGCTGGAGATACAATGTACAACATTGAACAAAACAGATAAAAATCTCTGCCCTCACATTGCTTGCATTCTAGTAGTGGGGGAAATAAGAGGAGGGGTAAATTTTAAAGCAACACTGTCCAAAACGGTAGGCACCAGCCTCATATGTATACTGCATACTTGACATGTTGCTACTCCCAATTGAGAAGTTTGATAAAAGCAAAATACACATCAGATTCGAAGACTTAATACCGAAAAACATAAAATCTCTCATTAATCATTTTTATATTGATTCGATGATATTTTAGATATGTTGGGGTTAAGTAAAATATATGATTAAATTAAACATCACCTGTTTCTTTTTACCTTTCAACATCTGGCTCAGAGAACACTTTAAACTACATACATGGTTCATTCACATCATAGTTCTATTGGACAGACCTGTTCTAGAGTATGTTAGATGGTGGCATGTGCTATGGGAAAAAAAGAAGGATGGTGAAAAGAGGACCCCGAGTGCAGAGGAGCCCGAGTGCAGGGTGTTGATTGTAGATGCAATATAGTCAAGCAGCCTTGCTGAGATGGTAACAAAACTTAAAGGTGAGAGAGCCACGCATGCCACACCTGGGGGAAGAGGACTCTAGGAAGAGAGGACCGCACATGCAAAGGCCCTGAGGTGGGAGCGCACCCGCGAGGAACAGAGAAGCCAGTGTGGCTGGAGCTGAGTGGTCAAGGTGGGGTCAGAGGTCATTGAGTTGGGGAGATCAAGGCAACACAGATGGTGCAGGGCCTTTTAAGGCCATTGTATGGACTTTGGCTTCTTTCGCCGAATAAAACGGAGTCTGCAGGGTTTTGAGCCAAAAGGTAATATGATTCAGCTCACATTTTAACAGGCTCACTCTGGCTGATGAGAATGCAGGAGAGAGAAGAATCTGGAAGGCCAGTTGGAGGCTCAGGCAAATATCCCCTTGGGATGACAAGAGCCCCGACCTCACAGGTCTTGTGGATTGTGTTAACCAGCGGAAGAGCCACAGGTGGAAAGCGCTTGGAAAATGAGCACTTAACTAGAACCAAAGCTGCACGACGGCAGGAACCTCGCCTCCCTAGTCCCCCCCCACCCAGTGTGGCCAGGAGAGGCAGGGGGTGCCCTCCCTGATCAGCCACCGAAGTCACCTCTACCCTCCTCGGGGTGTCTCCCACGGGAGGATTACAACCACCTCCCTGCAGAGGTGCTCCCTGTTTAAAACCCCTCACGTGCTGCTCATCCCCAGGTCATAGGCTCTTGGCACCATGGGTGCGGCAGGCAAGGGCTATTCCTGCCTCTCTCTCCCACCTTCATCCCCTCACCCACTCCCCTGCCTGAGTCCTCCCTCCATGCCTTTGCTCACACTGCCCCTTCTGCCTGGGATGTCGGCTTCAACCCTTCCACCCGCCCCTCCATGTTCTGTCTCCTCCTTCACACTCTTTAAGGGGCAGCCTAAAGGTAATATAATGAGCAGACCTCCCAGACTCCACCACCCGCAATCCATCCCCACTCCCAAGCTGGATCAAATGCCCCCATCATAATTTATGTATTTTTCTATTTGTGGATTTATAGTTCTGTGTCTCCTCGCCCACCCTCACCAGATCCTTGAGGGGTGGAATTGTATCTTATTCATAACGGCATCCCTTGCCCTGGCACGATGGCTGGTGGCCCAATAAATATGGTTTGAAGGAATAAAAGAGGCTAGAGAAGTGGATTTGGAAGCACTGTTCATAAATGCCAAAGACCCAGACAGCTTCCACCTTCCCCGGGCCTGCAGGAGAGCTGGGCCTACGCAGCAAGGCAGGGCAGGGAGTCCCCTCAGGGGCAAGTGGAACCGTGGGCCCAACTTCCAGAGGCTCAAGGAACTCCAGGACTACTACGTAAAACTAATTTATACCCTGGGGGTACAGGCCCCACACAAGCACCCCCTTCCCATTCCCAGCCCCCTCCTGTCCTCTGGGAAACAAGCTCAGAGACATGGCCAGTTCCTTCCCTGACAAGGGACATTGCCTGGATCACATGACTCCTGAAGGCAGCTCTACTCATCGCAGGGCCCTTGGCTCCTATCTAAGGAGCTGTCTCTCCCTCCCCCACTTCCACAGATGGCAGAAGATGAACGAGCTCCCCCAGGACGGGCCCAGCCAGAATGGAAAGACTCTGGCCCCCGGCACAATGAGGTGGGTCACCCCGTATCCTACACGCTTGGAACCCCTTTCCCAGGCCTCAGGCAAATGCCATGTTTCCCATGGGAGGAGGGAAAGGGGGCAGGAGGAAGTCTGGAACAAAGATTCAATGGAGAAGGAGAAACCAGGAGGAGCTTTGAGATCAGAATTAAATTCTTTAATACAAAATGCTTTTTTTTAAGATATATCTGTATTTCTTTGTTGTTGTTTAAAAATAAATATGTACTACGGAATATCTCGAAAAACTGCACTAGAGACAAAGATGTGATGTTAATATCTTTTTCCCCCACAATTATTACGGATAAACAGTAGCACCAATAAATAAATGATAACAAATATTAAAATTAAAAAAGGAGAGAGATTTAGTATGTAGAATTCTCTATTTTTTCTTGTTTTGTTTTTACATATAAAAAAACAGAATAGCAATGTCTATCAGAATCATATATACATAAACATATATATATATATATTATATATATATACACAAACACAAGTTGCCAAATATATATATAGTATGTAGATGTATATTGAAACCTTATTTCAAAGGAATGTGTGGTGGGGAGCCAAGGGAAAGGGGGGGGCAGAACTGAGTGTTAGCAAAGCAAAGTATCTGCTCAGGACAAGCTGGTGACTGTCACCGACCAGAGCAAGAGAGATTGGAAACAGGGATTTTATACACAAAGACCAGCACAAATAAGAGAGAGCGAGACAGCAAGAGATGGATCTCATAAATAGTTGAAATTAAATATTAACCAAGAATACTGAAAAAAACCCTACTCTTTAATTAAATTAACTGTTTTAATTTCTAATTAAAAGGGCATATTAAATAACTACCATATATAAAACACTTCTCTTTTCTCTGCCTCCAGGGTGGGCACCGGGGCCCTGCCCTGTCTCTCTGTGCCGCAGGGAGGGTCGGGTTGGGGGATGGAGGTGGGTTAACCACACACACACACAGCCAGGTCTCCTGGGGGGACAGAACTAGTGGTTTCAACGGTCTGAGGACATCGGGCCCTCCTGGGCTGCGACGGGGAAGCAAAGCTGGGAGAGGGCCAAGGCAGGAGGCCCTTCCCTCGGAGGATCAGCTGCCACTGGGCGGCCCTTCCTCCACCAACGTCTCTCTTCTCTTCGCCAAGGCATGTCAGTGGCCTCCTGGGCATCTCGGAAGCGGGTGAGAGGAGGTGAAGGCTGCCCAGACTCCTGAATCTTCCAGGCAAGTGCCCCTGGGGGCAAGATGCCCGTGCAGCACGTGGAGGGGTTCTCCAAAGCACAGCAGTGTCCCGAGGCTCCCCCAAACTCCTGGTCAGAGCCAGCGTCCTCGTGCCCTGTACCTGTTGCCTGTCTTTCTGTCCGTTTGACTCGGGATAGAGGCTCGGGGCCAGGGCTGGGTTTGTCGGTGTTTCCAAAAGCAGGCCAAATTTGCCCCCGTGCCCTGGCCTTGCGCGTCCCCAGGCAGGTGAGGGGACCCCGGCTTCCCTAAGAGGGATAAAAAGATGATGCCAGAGTCTCTCCTTCCATCCTCTTCCCTGTCAGGACCTGGGTGGGGGTATTCTCCTCCCAACTCAAGTCCACAGCAGTCAAATACATCCAGTGAAGACACCAATAACATTAGCAATGTTAACTTAAAAAAAAAGAATATATATATTTTATATATATATATAAAATATATATATTTATTTTTATATATTTTATATATATATATAAACGTATGTATGTGGGTGGGTGTGTCTACAGGAATCCCAGAAATAAAACTCTCTAATCTTCCGGGCTCGGTGATTTAGCAGCAAGAGAAATAAAATGGCGATCCAATTCCAAGAGGGACCGTGCTGGGTCACCCGCCCGGGAATGCTTCTGCCGGAGTCTTGTGCTCCGGACCCAAAGTGCTCTGCGCACAGCCTCCTCTTCCTTCATGTCAGGTTTCTGGATTCAGGACTGTTCTGTTGATGGTGGTGGTGGTGCGGGGGCAGCGGCTACGGGTCATTCTTTCCTGTCAGTCTTTCCTGGTGAGACGTCTCGTTCCCGAAACCCTGAGGGAGGCTCCTTCCTCCCACCCAGCTCACCGCCTTGGCTTGTCACATCTGCAGAGAACGGGAAACAGAGGCTGGGGGTTAGGGCCAGGGGAGGAGCCCCGGTGGGGAGGCTGCAGCCTCCCCTTCCTGCAGCCCGAGGCCAGCAGGGGAGAGGACAGAGAAAGCGCAGTCCTGCCTCTGGGAGAGTGGCAGCTACGTCCGGGGCTCCCAGTCTGCCCTCTGGAGTTTACAATCTAGCTGAGACAAGACAAAGACAGAATGACATCTCATCACAAGCAACAAATGAACACGTCCCAAAGAACAGTCCCTAGTTGACATTTAAGAGCTGACAGGTGAGCAAAGTTGGACCAAGTTAGTCAGCAAAGCCTCCCTGCAGAAGGAGATGTTTCAGGGCAGTCCCTATGGTGCTGGTTTGGGGGAGTGAGTTGGGAGAGCAAAGGATAGGGCCTGTGCAGAGGCCAAGCAGGCCAGGAAGCTGGGGAAGTGAGGCTCCCAAGAGAGGCGGAGCCAGCAGGGCTTGGGGCCCTGGGAAGGTGAGAGACACACCTCCCCTCGCCATGCCCCCCGTCCTGGCCTCAGCTGCAGGCCCCAGGTACCAGGCTGCCTTACCTTTCCAATATGCTATTTAACTTAGGGTCGGGGAGGCAGAGGGGACTCCTAGAACTTTCCCATCATGCCCCTGCACCTGGGCTGCTCGCCTTTTACCCTCCCCACTTGAAGAGAGGTCAGAGCAGGCCCTGCCCTTCTGAGAGCTTAGGAATGGGGATCCTAAGCCTCCTATTTGAGGACTGAAATTCCCCCATACAGCCAGGTGAGAGGATGGGTTCGGGTAACTTCAGTTAGCCCCCAGGTCACTGCAGACATCCCCCTATCCCATCACTGCAGAATGATCACCGTGGTAACCCTAAAATGGCAAATCCCTTATCTTCTCGGAGGTCCCTGGGAGATGTGGAGACCCCTCAGCCCCCACCCCAGCACTAGTGTACACTTCCTGCCTTCACGTACCGCCAAGATAGACAGAACCCACAGTAACACCCCCAGGGCCCGGTCCCCAGCCTCCCTGACACTCACAAGCCACAGGAACACAGGAGACGGGGGAGAGAGCTACACTCCAAGGACCCTGTTAACCAGTGAGGCATCTGGACTAGCTGGGGGCACCCTGGCCCTGCCCGGGAATCCCCATAAAAGCCTCTCCTTCCTGGGTGAAGCTTACACTGGCCCAGAGGGCTCCCTGCCTTTGAGCACAGGCCAGACGAGTATAAACACCAGTGAGGCATCAAAAGATTGCCAGCCACCTGTCACGGCCCCGTGCTCTTGCCCTCACCCCTGAACTCGGTCATGTATTCACTCACGCACTTGACACTTCCTTGGTCCCTGGTGTGAACAAGGGACAGAGGCACAGATGCCTGGGGTGGGAGTGGGGGGTCACACAGATGAATAAAACCTAGGCCCAGGTGTGAGGAGCTCACAGCCTAATATTAGGAGAATGGGTGTGGCTCCCTCCCTCCACCCATCCTAGGGGCATTTGGAAATAGGTGGGCTGTTCGGGGTTGTCGCCGTGATGACAGGAGTATTAAGGTATCTAGCGTCCCCTGATGTTAAATCTCCTATCTGCCCTAAACCAACAGGCAGAGCCCACGCCCTCCAGGACCCCAGTCTGAGGATGAACTCAAGCCCTGTCCCCAAGGAGAGACACTGAGGGGATGAGAAACCCAGCGGTGCAGACCTCAGAGGCGGTGGCGAGGCCCCCAAGTGTTTGCGCTTTGTAGAGGCGCATCCCCCCACGCCGGGAAGGGCCCTCCCTATTAGCAGCAAAGGTAGGAATCACGACGTCAGAACCAACAGCCACTACGAGCAGGACCACAGGACACAACACTCAGCCTGCGTCCACACCACCACAGGAAGCCACACTGGCCTGCCCACTCACGCAACCAGGGCAAGCTCTGAACTGGCCCTGGCGGGCCGGCCAGCACCCGCTGCCCAGCGCAGGGGCCCCGCGAGCAGAGAAGGCGGCAGCCACCAGGCAAGCAGCTAGAAGCTGAGCAAGCAGCTGGCCCCTTTCAGGTGCGCTTTCGCTCGCTCTCGCTCGCTCGCTCGCGCGCTCTCTCTCTCTCTCTCTCTCTCCCCATCTCTGTGCAAAGCCCCTCTCTGACTTGTTCGCCCTCTGGGAACCAACCTGCAAGTACGTTCGTTTAACTCAAGCTGCCTCGCCTTGCAACGCGAGTCTGTGTTTTTGCAGGAACATTTACACGTCTGCGGATCTTGTACAAACAAATGCTTTCTCCGCTCTGAGCAAGGCCCACAGGGACTGCAAAAGGCAAAAGGAAAGACATCTAAGCTAGAGCGTCAGCAGAGAGAGAGAAAAAAATCCATGCAACACCCCCGACCACGTCAGCAGCTGCACCCCACCCAGCTCACGGGCCCCACACCCTTCCACGCCCTGGAAGGGTCCGACGCCACAGCGGAAGACAAGAGAGAGCGGCGGAAAGAGGCAGCACTGGCTAGGAAGCCTGCCCGCAGGAAGAGGCGGACGCACACGGGCAGAATGCAAGGACAGGGGTGCTGTAAGGGGCAGCGCTGTCCCACGGGCACAAGTGCAAGTCTCGGGCCACAGGGCCCCAACGGCTACCACCCCCGAAAAAGCACACCTTCACTCTCCACCTGCTGGGGACGGCAATCGGGGCCACCTCCTCCCTGTGTGAAGGCTCATGCCCAGGCCCCTCCACCAAAGTGGGGGCTGAAGCAGGGAGTGACGGCAGGCTAGGCCACAGGCTAGGCCACTGCTGGCCAAAGGGTCCCCCACAGCCTCAAACCCGGAGGAAGAGGCCACCCTACAGGAGGGCTTCTGTGGGTGCCATGGGTTGGGCTGGAATCGGGGGCTCTCCTCCAGAGGCCCCAAGTCCACAAGGAGGGGCCGCAGCGGTGTTTGACGCCACATCCTCCTTCAGCCAACAACGAGCTGCCTCACCTCATCCACGCCCCTTCCTCACGCCACGTCTGCCCTCCACACCCCCACCCCCAGCTTCCAGAGAAGTGCGGAAGCCTAGAGCAGTGGAAACCAGTTGGGTGAGCAGGCATCAGCGCCCGGCACCCGTGCCAACATGGGCCCGCCACCAGTGCCCAGTGGGTGAGGGAAAGGCGGTGGGTGCCCAGCCAAGCCAGAGGCCCCTCCCTGAATCCTCCAGGCCCACTCTGCCCACCCGCCCACCCCCGACCCTGGACCAGCAATGCCACCACCACATCTACCCATCGGTGCCAATTAGTGGGGTGAGAGTGAGAGAGAGTCACTAGGGAAGAGGGAGGATAGGAGCCAGGGAAGGGGAGCAGGAGGGAGGCAGGGTTCCAGGGTCCTGCAGGCGGGAGTTTGATTGGGGGCTGGGAGGCTCCAGGAGACGAGACAGCGGTGGCACCACGTACGCGCTCCAGGATTTATACCGGGATTTCTTGCGCTTTCTTTTTTGCCCCTTTCCCTTTCCTCGAACTGATTTTCTGGAAAATAAAAAAACAGAGACAGACAGAGAGAAAGCAAGGGGGTAGGGGAGAGGAAAGGAAGCAGTGAGGAGGGCAGGACACAGGACATGCTCCGAGGCACGAGGGAGAGCTTGCACACGTGCACGCACATGGGATGGGCCGGGGCGGCAGGCACTCAATGGCGCCTTCTTCTCACTTTACCCTTGGGCGGAGCGGGGGGTGGGGGGGCGGCAAACCCAGCTCCTAGCAAGGCTGTGTGTGTGGTGCGGGGAGCAGAGGCTGGGTGGAGGGCACTGGACCCACAGGCCTCCATGCTCATGGTGTCTCCTGGTCCCAGGCAGGGGGCAAAGCCTAGGGGGCAGGCTCTCTGCTCAGCATCCCTGAACAAGTCTGACCCTGAAGGTCAGGGGCCATAAGAGGTAGGCCAGAGTTTGGGGAGAAGGTCAGAGACCTGACTCGATGGGGGGTGAGGGAAGGGGGTGCAGGCTGTACTCCAGGCACCTTCTGCCTTCATTTCCAAGTACCAGAGCGAGGGGTCCCTCCAGGGGCCCTGCCTCTGTGAATCCCAGTGTAGGGGAGCAGCTATCTTGGGAGCTGGCGCAAAACCAAGGGTGGCACATGAAAGGCGCCAGCCAGCCCGGCCATAACCTGGGCTGAGAGGCGGGGCCCCAGGCAGGCGGCAGGGTGGGGTGGGAGTTAGGGAGGCGTGGGGAGGGGGGCCTGGGCGGCATTTGGCGAAGCGTCCTCTCCCCAGCCTGTCAAAGCCTGCTACACCATCTCACCAGACTCTCTTTGGAGACGAGGCGAAACCCCACTCTCCCTGTGGGCAAGGCAGGCGTTTGGGGAACAGGCAAGGGCGGCAAGCTGAAGCCTGTCCCCCTCAAGGGAGCCAGCCCTCTCCACACCTGCCCGGCCCCAGAGAATGCCCCTCAGGATGGCTGCCACATGGGACAAATGAAGGGGAAGGGATGGAGGAGAGGGGCAAGTCTGTTCCCTCTCGGGAGAAAGTTCTGGAGGAAGGAAGGTCTTCATTCACACGCGCACAGACACACTCTCTCTCTGAGCCTCCTGTCCCCAATCACTGCTCAGCAATCCTGAAGTTGGGGACTTAGGGAAGAGGCAAGGGGTTGAGGTCTAGGGGGCTTCAATGTCACCAGAGCGTTGGGGGCAGACAGGACGATGGGTGGGGGAAGGGCAGAGGTGCTCTCTCTCAGTCTCTTCCCCTGCAGGCTCTCTCCCGTGCCAGCCGCTCGCCCTGTCTTGAAGGATCACCGCTGCCAGACCTCACCCCCTGCTCCATCCTGACCTGACCCTCCACACTGAGCAACTGAAAGCCTCAGGAAATGGCCAACATTCACCTCTTTCTCCCCGGCCAAGGGGGCTGAGCGTCTCTGGCCTGCCTCACTCCCGCAGGAGGGCATGCACCAACAAAACACCCCAGCTGGCCCCAAATCCAACCGCACCACCACTGCAGCCACCAATGAGGCCATTTCCTCTAACACACAAAAGCTGGCCTCTCTGCCACCCACTCCCTCTCCCTGCCATGGGTGACAGGAGGCTAGAGCAGGCCCGGGAGCCAGCATCCACAACAGGTCCCGACACGCCAAGACCGCAAGTCCTGGCCGGGAATGGCCCGGAGATGCATCGTCTCTTCCAAAGGAAGTTCCAGCACCAGGCTGGGTTTTGTCAGTTGTTCTAGAGCCATAATCCTGGAGTTTGCTCCATCCCATTGCTGCCACCACAAGTCCCCATGAAACCAACTCTCAGACCCAGTGAAGCCATCAGACCCCCCTGAGAGAGGAAGCCAAGAGCCCCAAACCAAGACAACCAGCCAAGTAGAGGGAGAAGAGGGAAAGTCATGGCCACTTACTTTTCTTGCCTTGCTCTATCTTTCTTTGGTCTGCAGTGGGTAGAGAAAGAGAAAAGAACAAAACAGAGAGGAGTTCAGATGGTGATGGTAACGAGAATAATAATAATAAAATAAAAACTTAACATAGTATTTATGATACATCGGTACAGTTTTAAACTCTTGACATATAATGACTCATTTAATCCTTATAACAATGCTAAGCAGTACATACTATTATTGTGCCCATTTTACAGATGTGGAAACCGAGGCACATTGAAGTAATATCGAAATGCCCACAGTTACACAGCTGGAAGGTGGAAATGGGCTAACAAGTGGAACGTACTTAACCCTGGCCTAGAGTGGGCCCCCTGAATTCGTTCAGCAGCCATTCGCTGAACAAATGACTCCGTGACTCCATCCTTACCTGCATTCACATTTGTTGTGCTGTAGGAAGCTCATCTCTCCTATGTGCTGGCCTTGGTGAGGTTTGATCCGCATAATCTGGAGGAAAAGGAAGCAGATCACAGCGGTTAGTGACCCAGCCAGCCATACCCAGGTGGGAGACCCCATGGTTCCTGCCATTCAGCACCCAGGGGTTCTACAGAGCAGGGAAGGGTGGTGGAAGTACGGGGGGACCAGGGGCTCTACCAGAAAGAGCCTCAGGCCCCCCCCAACTCCCCCTACCCCGCTGACCTCGAGGAGCCCCTGCTTCTCTTGAGGGCAGACATGGCTGCAGGGTTGGCCAGGCTGGGAATTTGGGTCCTGGGTTCTTGCCACTCCCCATCCCTCCCCTCCTCTTACCCCTCCAGGCCTCACCCTACCCCCAGTAACTACCCAAGAGCCACCCACCCCTCCCTGGGGTCTCAGAGTTCCCTCCAGCCCCATCCAGGCTGAGATGTGCCCCATCACCAGGCAGTACCAAACGACTGGCTTTTTAAACTCTCCACAGACCAGGCTCATCCAGCTTCCCACACAGAGCCCCCAGGGAGGGAGGGCTCTCTCCCTCCTAGAGAGGAAGGGAGGGGCTCCTGTCACAGGTGTCAGCCCCCTCCTGAGCTCAGGGGACAGAGGTCAGGGAGGAGGAGGAGGTGGTCGGGGCTTGCTGGAAACCTGGGCTCAGAAATGCAAGCATCTTTTTCTCCAAAGAGGGTAAGACCTCCACATCTCCCCTTGACTGACTCAGGGGCGAGAGGTGGGCAAGGCAAGCCTGGCTCTTCCCTTCGAGAGCTGCCCAGGAGAGGGCCGGGGACCACCTGTCGGCAAAGCCTAATGCCCCACCCACCCACACAGCCCCTCCTCCGCTCCCCGCAGGTGCCCACCTGCATGGTGATGTTGAACTCTTCGGTGGGCACACACTCCAGACCCTCGTCATTGCAGCAGCCCCCACACCGCATCAGGGGCACACAGGACGGCTTGAAGATGTACTCGATCTCATCGGGGTACTCCTGGAAGATGTCCACCAGGGTCTCAATTGGACGGCAGTAGCTGCGCTGGTAGACGTCCATGAACTTCACCACTGCATGGCAGGGGGTGACACATGAGCCCAGCAGGTCACGTTAGAGGTGGCCGGCCCTTCTCTCCACCCAGCTCTGTAAGGCCGCTCCTTTCTGTGAGAGGTACCCACTACAGTCCTTCTGAAAATCTAACTTAAGTCTCTTGGCTGTGGCTGAAGTCCTCTCCTAGCTTTCCACCACCAACACTGATAAAGGCCTGTTTTTACTGCAAAGATCACATGGCTCTGTCAGGTTCTAAGGGAGTCAGCCTGCACATCTGATCCCCTAGCCTCGCCATGACAGCCAAGCCAATCCCTAGGTCAACCCTGATGCCAGAGGACAGTCTGAGTACGAGTATACCTGTTGGGGGTCTCTAAGCTTCCCGTGAAAGGAGGAGCAGCCAGCTTGGCAAACCCGCTCTCCATTTCCCTCCAACTCCCCACAGCAACTGCCCTACCATTAACCGACAACCACTTACTGAGCACTTCTTATGTGCTGGGCACTGTGTACAGGAGTCCATAGATGTCACCCCAAACAATTCTCCCCCCCATGGTACTCTGAGGTTCTAGTAGGACCCCCCATTTTACAAACGGGGAACTAGAGGCTTACAGAGGCTGAGTAACTGGCCCCAAGGCCACACTGCCCGTAAGTAACAGAGTTAAAGTCAACTCTGACATCAAAGCCTTCCCAAGCCAACATCCTGTGAAACAGAGGGGAAGCATCAGGGGGCACTTTGCCACCTGCCAGACCCCCTCCCCAGACTCGGGCTGAGGAGGTGGTGGGCACTGGCACAGGGGTTGGGTCTGCCTGGAAACAGCAGGTGGCTATGGGCGGGAACACTGCTGGCCCTGCCAGCCACCGATAACCCCACCCAGGAGGGCAAACTGCTTGCATCATGGAAAAAACGGTGCCGCCACTGCAGTCACGGAGCATTTCTAGAAGCTGATCTGGAGGGAGACCAGGGTAAAGACAACTTCCCAGGCTGGCCGTGGAGCCTGGGGTGCACCGGAGCATGAAGGGGTAATTCTGGGCCACAGAGGTAGGGCCCCTGAGAATAAATAAAGTCAGGACTCTGAATGGCTACTCCAAATTGTGGCCTGGCCTGCCACTCCCCATCAGCCCTCCACCACCACCACAGAGCAATCCTGTCCCTGAGATGAGTTTCCCCTGAATAGAAGGGAAGAAGCAGCATCCAGCCAGCGAGGAAGCCTGGGCTCTGGCCAGGACTTGGTGTGACCTTGGGACAGTTCCTCCCTCTCTAGGCCTCAGACTCTGCACATCTGTGTAAGTGGGTTGGGCTGATCTCTAAAGACACTGAAACAGAGGTTGAAGTATAGGGTTCTGCCTTCCATCTCCAGCCCTAAGAACAAGCGCCCTTTTCTCAGCCCAGGAGACACAAGGTTAGAGCCCCACCAAGACATCTGAAGGGCATACCCCCAGCTGCCTCTTCCCAGAGGCCACAGCTGAGCCTCTCCTCACTCCTCCCTCCAGAGGGGTGAAGGAAGATGAGCCTGGGTGCTGGGGAGGGGGGTATATATAGTGGATTAGGGAGAATGTGAGGAGCTGAGGGGAAGTGGGGAGGCTGTACGTGTGAAAACAGGAAGGAAAACACTGGGGGCTCCCAAGCCAGTCCTTGGCCTTGCCTGAGGTCTCTGCTTCCCCATCCAGACAATGGGCACAGAATTCCCCACCGCTACAAGGGTTAGGCTCAAGCATCATCAAAAAGAGTATAAACAAGACCAGGGATCTGAAGAAGTCCTTTTGTAAGCCAGGTCTATATTGAAGAAGATGACTAATCAAGAATTCTTGCCCTGACACTGCGTCCTGGCTGGGGCTAGAGGTGGCCAAGCCTTCAGGGCCACAAGGACAGGACAGCAGAACAGTCTGGCCTGGGTCATGGCAGTTGGTAGCTGATGGTAAAAAGATCCAGGGTGGGAATTCCTTGGAAAAGCTCCCCGGCATCCTCAGGGCCCACAGGAGGTAGAGGGGGGTGACTTCACCGCACCCTTCGCACCCCAGCCAATACCTCCAAGGAAAGCTGTCCTGCTTTTGCTCAGGCGTGGGCGCACATACACTCCAACTTCAGGCTTCGTGGTTTTCCTTATTTCTCTAAGACAACCTTTACCCCAGCAAACAAAGACCGTTTGTCTTGCCTCTCCCAGGCCTCAGAGAGAGACCAGTGGAGGCTGAGGCAGGGTGGGTGCACCCTGGGAGCGGAGGCCTGTCAGTGGCACAGGTGGGGAAGCCAGACCCTGGGTCAAGGAAAGGGCTCCTGAGTGAGGAAGGAGGCAGAACTGGCCAGGCGTCACCACCAGCCTGGGGAGTAGAAACACTGCCCCTGGCCACCATCCGGGCCACTGGATTTGGGTCAGGGAAACTCGCCTGGAGGAAGACCCCAGGGCCGTCCCTTCTCAGAGGTGGGGAGCTGGGGGAGTGGCACATCGGGCTGGAGCAGAGGCCACATAGCGGGGAGAGCCAGGGCATCCCTAGAGAAATGGGAGGATCTGTACTCCAAACCGCGGCAAACAAAAGGCAGGCAGACTCAGGCTGGGCAGAGGGGCGGGGCTCCTGGGAGCTACAGCCAGCCCTCTGCTGGACCAAGAGGGAAGTTCACAAGCACCCAAACCTACTCCCCAGGAGGGCAGGGGGAGGCTGTAGGGCTTTCTCTCTCCACCCCCAAAGGAATGCCAAGTGGGGGGAGGGAGTTCCATGAGCCTGGGCCCTCTGCACCTCCAGCTCGTACACAGCCAGCAATCTAGACAGCAGGGGTCACAGCCTCTGCCACACAGACCCCACAGGTGGAATCTGGCTGGGTTGGAAGTGACATGGAGTATCCATCCTCCCCTGGGAGCAGGGGCGACAAGGGACACCTCCCCTGACACCTGGGATCCTTGAACACTATTTGTCTTCCTGGTCTGTGCTTGCAACTCCCTCTCCAAATAAAATTTTACTGGAAAGAGCAGAAGAAAAAGACCACAAGTCCTATTTCTGGCCGTGGTCTAAGTAGTACAGACAGAGTGCTCCAGAATGGAAGGGTTAATCTCCCGGAGCTCACCTTTTCCTTTCTAGATCCCCAGATTCCTGTGCCCCTTCCCCACCCAAACCCCAACAGACCTGAGAAGGAACTGGGCCTTCCCACCCATCCCCTGGGGGATCAAGGGACCCCCCCCCATCCGTGTGCAGGGGTGGGCGTGGGGGGGGACTTACCTTCGTGAGGTTTCTGCTCTCCTTCTGCCATGGGTGCAGCCTGGGACCACTGAAGACAAAACAAAGAACGAAGAATGGGCATGGGCAGAAGCAGGGATGCACAGACCCAGCCACCCCGCCCCTGCTCCCTCTTTAAGTCCCTCCCAGCCCGCAGCCTCTGGCTTCCCCGGGGCTTCTCAATGGAGCAGGGCACCTCCGGGGGCTCTCCACAGCACAAAGCACCACCCCTGGACTGCTCCAGTTCTGAAGCCAAGGAAGATAAAGACTGACCAGATATTGGAGGGGGGGGGGCTCAAAACACAGGAGGAAAACACCAGAATTGCTGTGCTGCCCAGGCCCCTGCCCCTCCCCCACATTTCCCTTTCCCAGCCCTCACTGGCCCCTTGCTGAGCTAAAAGAAGTGAAGTCTCTCAGCCCCCCTGACTCCCTGGTCCAAAGCCACGGGTAAGTATTAAGGTCAAACAGGAGGACAAATTTGGACTGGGGCAGGAAGGAAGGACTGGGGGCGAGAAAAACAACATGGTGACCTTCTCCTGCTGACATAACAAATACCAGGGTGCGCTGTTGCTGTGGGGGGGGCGGCACAGAGGACCGAAGGGCACCAAGCACCCTCCCCCATCCAAACTCTTCTATCCTCAGGAATACTTAGCAAAGCCACAGGTTGCCTAGAGGGTAAAACATGGAAGGAAACCCTGGGGGAGGGGAGGGCCCCATTTTTCCCTGCGCACCCATCTCCCTAGAGCCTGAATTTATCTCCAAAGCCCCGAGCCTCGGGCTCCCACCTTGTTCCCTGGTTTCTTCTCCCTCCCAGACTGAGGGGGTTCCCAAGTCCCTCTCACCTGCTGGACACCTTCCTCAAAGGCAACCAGGGAAGCCTTTTATGCCTTAGCACTGCCCAACCCCTAGGGGGCCCCCTGCACTACCTAGGCCTGAGGCCTCTCATCCCTCCCCGCCCCCACCAGATCATTCCTCCCCTCCCCAGAAGCTGTGAAGGTCAACTAGCCCAACCATGTGGACCTGACAGCACCCCGCAGGCAAAGGCTTCTCCCAGCCCTTCCAGAGGGTCTCCAGTTGTCACCAACTGCCCACCCCACCTGCCCCTCTTTTGGGGCAGATCCCGAGCAGCAGAGCTGCGCTCTAGCCCACAGAACTGCAGACTCCGCAGAGACTCTGTCTGTCTGTCTCTCTCTTTCCCACCTCCCCCCCACAATACACCCCAGACCCCCAGCCTTGCCTCCAGGGCCAAGGTCAGATAACAGTTTCCAGGATCCCAGCTGGAGCCTCCCCCTACAGTTCCCTCAGGGACCCCCCTGGAGTCTCTGCCTCAGCCCCTCACCCATCTCCATGGCACCCCCTGGCTTCCCTCTGCCAACATTCTGCCTATGCCCTCCACTCCTCCTGGGCCCCAAAGAGCAAAGGGATCAGAAACTTCATACCCCCTCCAAGTCCAGGGGGCACTGGGAGGGGCAGTTCTGGGCGGGGAGGGGCCAGGTGCCCTTCTCTGGGGGCCTCTGAAGGTCACACTGTGGCCAGGCGGCCTCTCCTCCCCCTCCCCCCCCCTTGGAGGCCTGGAGCCAAGGCCTTTGTGCCAGGGTCTGAGGAACTCTGGGTGGCAGCAGGGACCCCAGCCCATTTTCTTCCTTCCGCCACTCTCTAAGGGGATTCTGTAGCTAAAGGAAGAGCGGAAAAGGATCCCTTAGGTGGTTTTGGGAAGCAAGGTGGGTGGGCAAGTTTGGAGTTCCGAAAAAACCACCTGCTCCTGCTCCAACGCCCATTTCACCAGAACAAAGTGTGTTTGCACGGCTGGCAGGAGCTCCCTCCAAAGGTTCGGGGAGGGCTAGTCCCACACGGCCCATGTCACAGCAAATTTCAAACCATTTTTCCAAAAAGTGTAAAGTGGTCTAGAGGACCCTCTTTAAACCCTCCCTTAGGCCACCCCCATAAAAGCTAAAGCACAGCTCACTCGGAAGTGTGGGGGAGGGGAGGGAAGCAGACTGTCACGAAGTCGGGACTTTAGGTTGAGTCTCGACAAAGCACCCGGCTGGGCCCAGGCAGCCCGACTCCTGACAGCGATCATTCTTTTCCCGGACTCTGAGGCCGGGGAGAGGTTAGATGGGTCTTCTCAGCAGAGGGGAATAAAAAATAAAGAGGTGGCAGGGGCTTCTCTTCGAGCAGAGAGGAAATGGGGAAGGGACGTTAGGAAATTCCTCCTAGGAGGGGATTAAGGGCTGGGGACAGCGGGAAGAAATAGGGGTGGTTCTCCGGGTCCTCTGCAAGGGACTACCTCGAGAGGTCACCTTCCCGCGGAGGGCAGGCGGGGGGAGGGGCGCCGCTCGCCACCCCGGGTTCCCCGCTCGGGCCGCCGCGGCTCCGGGAACACGCGGCCGGCCAGGCCCGGGCTGATGTAATCGGCTCCGCGCCGCGCGCGCCCGGCCGGGCGGGGGAGGGCGGGCACCGAGCGGGACGCGAGCTGGGACGGGCGGGGGTGGTGCGGCGCAGGTGGCCCGGCGGAGAGGGGGGGGTCCCAGCAGCAATCCACCCCAAAACTTTTCCCCAACTCGAGGCGAGGGCCGCAGAGATCGAGCGGCAGTGACAGCAAGCCCCTCACTCGCCTGCACCCTGCCTCCTCCACGCTCTCTGCCCTCCCCCGGTCCAAGGTCCGAGCACCCACACCCCCGCCCGCTGGGCTCCGGCTCCCGCCCCCGCTGCCCGGACTTCCAGTTCGTCGGGGACCAGCGGCCGGGAGCAAACTTCAGCCGCCAGCGGCAGCGCAAGCCCAGCCCCCTCAGCTGCCTCCTCCGGCTCCCGCCCTCCGCTGGTCGGCCCAGATCCTACGTGCGGTAACTCTGGTGGGTGGGCAGGGCCCGCGTGGGCGGTGAGACTCTGTCCCGGTGTCCTCCCACCTAGCGCGCGCCCCCTCCCCCTACACGTATGAAGATAGAGGCGAAGCCGCGCGTCTGGTGCCCAAGGACCCGCGTGGGGCACTGAGCCCCCACGCGCGCACTCGCATGCACGTCCCCAGCCGGGAGAGGCGCTCGCAGCGGCCCGCGGCGCCAGGCGGGCACGGCGGCTTACCTTGGCATGGTGGAGGTACAGCAGCAAGGCAAGGCTCCAATGCACCCAAGAGAGCAGAAAGTTCATGGTTTCGGAGGCCCGGCCGGGGCCGGCGCGGCTCGCGCTCCCTCTCCGGCTCGGGCTGCGGGGCGGCCCGCTCTCCTCGGCGCCCAGGCGGGCGCCTCTTCCTCCCGGAGCCGAGGCCCGGGCCAGGGCCTGAGGCGCGCGCGCGGCTGGAGCACTGTCTGTGCACACAGCCGCGTCACCCGTCCATGAGCCCGGCTTCCGAGAGCCGAGTCGCCACCGCGGCCCCCTCTCCTCTTCCTTCTCTTCTTCCTCCTCCCCCTCCTCGGACTGCGGCTCCTCCCGGCCCGAGCTAGCACTTCTCCCGGTTCCGCTCGGCTCGGCTGCCCCGGCGCGGACCACGGCTCCTCCGGAGCGAGAACAGCCCAGAAGTTGGACGAAAAGTTTCAGTGCAACGCCGCGAGCCCCGACCCCCTCCACCCCGCCTCCGGGCGCGGGCTCCGGCTCCTGCCCGCGGCTAGCCGCCGCGTCCACCGTCGGCCGCCGGCCGGGGAGGAGGTGGGCGCTGGGGCAGGGGGCGGTGTCTGTCTGTCTGTCCGTCAGCGCGGCTGGTCCGACGTGGGATCCTGAGGGGGAGGGCTCGCGCCGCGCTCTGGCGGTCACCCCCAAAATCAGGTCACTCACTTTGCCCCTGTCCCTCTCGTTTCTCGCTGGCCAGCGCGCGCTCTCTGACCCGGTCTCTCTATCTTCCTCCACTTCTCTTTGGAGCTCTTGCTACCTCTTCTCTGCTGGTTTCCAAAATCCGAAGTGATTTGGGGGAGTAAAGGAGCAATCTCCCCAAACGGTCGGCCCGATTTAGCGGGGAATGGGAAGCAAAAATAAATTAAAAGGGGGAAAGAATACGGTTTTTTCCAAAAAAAATGTTTCAGAATAAAAGGAAGAGGGTAAACCCTGGATAAATGAATATCAAATTCCAGTGCGGAGACTCCTGGCTGGTGACCCCGCTGGTTCGTCCGCCTCGCCGATGCGTCTCCTGACCGAGCGCCGCTGCCGCCGGCTCCACTCGCCCCCCGCGCCCCGGCCTCCTTGCAGCCCGGCTGCCCCAAGCCTCTGCGCTCCTCACCGCTATGAGCAGACTAAAAAGAAGGCCTGGCCCCGCCCCGACACGCCCAGGGGCGGGAACAGGCCCAGCCTCGGCTCCTTGAGTCCGTCCCCTCCGCGCGTCTTCGGCCCCTGGCGCTGCCTTCGCCTGGGGACCCCAAGCGAAGCCTGGACCCCCACCCACACCAGCGAAGCGAAACCTCGACCCCCACCCAAGGTTCACAGCCTGAAAATTACCTATGCGCCCCCCTTTGCCCGGAGACACACACGCCCGCGCGGTATTTGGGGGGAGGGTACAGGAAAGTGAGGTTATGTGCGGACAGGACTCGAGAGCTATTCCCTCTATGCTGGGAATATTGGAGGGGGCAGGGGTTTGGGGGAGTCGGAAGGGGACTGGTGGAAAGAGGGACACACAGATCTACTGGAATCCTGGGGTGACCCCTGGCCTTCTCCCCCGCTCCAACACTCTCAGCTACCCCCCCACACACTCACACGCGTCCTCACTCTCACGCAGATGCTGCTCTCCCTCTCCCAAGTTCACCCAGCTTCCCTGTGGTGGCTGAGCGCCCCCTAGTGACTACCGTCTGCACACCCCAGCTCCGGTTCAAGAGGCCTCAGGAAGAGGGTTGAGGGAGATTACCCCTGGTATCCCCATTTCTGACCTCTCAAACAGTGGCATGTTTGGGACTCAAATGGCCCCATGTGCACAGAGCCCAGTGCTAGGCACAGAGGGCATGATGTATCCATCTGGACACTGTGCCCTTCTGGAGCCCTCATCTGGCCTGCTGCAGCCCACAGGCTGGGGTGACTGGGGTCCTTTGGGAAGTGTTCAGGGAGTCTTCCCTGGGGAGGAGTATTTGGCACCGTGTTCGTGGGGCTGAGAACAGGAAGCCGTGTGGTTCTGGGGTTAGTCAGTGGCCCAGAGGGAAGAGGACCTGTTGGAGCCCACGTATGCACTGTGGAGTCTGGCAGAGCCCAAAGGGAGAGGCAGCTGGGCAGACAGAGGCCCTTGTTCCTGCTTCCCGCCCCCCCCCCCGAGATGCTGCCAGGGAACTGAGGCCAGGGGGCTGGTGGGGGCGGATGGAGGCCAGGGCCTGAGTGATGATTCAAACCTACTCACCAGCACTAAGGAACGTCTGTAGGCCAGCTGCCCAGAGCTCCCACCAGGCCGGAGGCCAAGGCTTCTATCAGCCCCAGAGTCCAGGCTCACAGCTCATCTTCCGAACAGAACTGGGGAGTCTTCCTCAGCAGCCCCCAGACCTCCGGGACCCCTTGCCCACTTCTCGTAGCTGGCAGTCTCTTCTCCCTTTACCTCAGTCACCCCCGTTCCTTCAAAGCCTCCCTCTCCCCCAACTCCTCATGTCTTCCCTAAGTGCTCCCCAAGGCCCCCCAACTCACCCTTGCATACAGGAACCAGCCTGGAAAAATTCCTGGTTGGGCTTTGACCCAGCAGCTCCCAGGCTCCCCCAGGGAACAAGGAGTGGGGGTGATACCTGTGGGAAGAGAGGGACTAACCGGTCTTATTATTCATCCAGATCTGGCCAGGACCTGGCCTGGGGCTGATGTAGCCTCTGTGAAGGCCTGGGCTGAGAATGGGAGCTAGGCTGAGAACAGAACACAGCAACTCCTCAGCTCATGGCTCTGTGGTTTGGTGGGGGTGCTAGGTTACCCCTTTAGTGCCCCGGTTCCACTGGAGTGGTGTCCTGAGGCCCTTGTGAGCAGAGGGGCTGGCTCAGCCGCCACCCTATCGCACCCTGTCCATCGTTCATGCGTCCAGCCCCGTCTCCACCGCCTGGCAGGCTCCCCAGCAGCAGGGACAAGGTCTTTTACAGTTAGTCGCCACCTCCCAGTCAGGCCTCCTCACCAAGGCTCCACCCTCCAAGATGCCACGTGGGACACGGAAGCGAAGCCACTAGACTTCCTCCTTGCCCAACCTGGTCCTCGTCTAGCACCCCCAGAACACAAGATGTGGGCACCTTGGCAGGGATCCCCTGCCTTATCCCTACCCTGGGGCCGGCAGAGCCCAGGACAGAGGCTCCCCGCTTCACCACCGGGGGTCACTCTGGCCCCCTCCTCTGCATCCCTTCTCATCCCAGCCTTCCTTGGCCCCCCGGAGAGGCCTGAAGAGGTCTTAATAAAGGACCCTGAAGTTGGGAGGAAGAAGGAGGGGTTCCAAGGAGGGATGGCCATCAGTTGTCACTTAATAGCCACAAGTCTCTCCCCCACCTGAGCCAACCATTCCCCATTCAGCAAAGTGTGTTACAGCAACCTCTGTGAGCTCTGCTCAGGAAACCAGGGGAATGAGGGAGCAGAACTGCAGCCTTGCCTGAAGGGTCCTGAGCACCCTTCACTAGGGTGAGGAGGGGTCTCCCATCTCCACCCTTCATTTCACAGCCACAACCTGGTGGTGACTTGGGGGTGGGGGGTTGACTCTGGGTCCCATCCCCCAATATGATGTCACCAGCTTTCACATTAATACACTGTCACGGACCCAACCCCATGGGTTATCATCAAACTGAGAGCCCCACGCTCCTGGGTCTTCAAAAATGGGGGCCAGAAACACACAGAACAAGAACACAAGTCAACAGCCATAAGACCACATCACATCTCTATAGCATCTTCTCCTTCCATGGACTTAATCCCCTCCAACAAACTTGATTCCACTTATCCTCCCTCTGCAGGCTGCTTCAGGACAGGGACTATCAGGGCAGACTTTCCCCCAGAGAATTCCAAGGGTACAGAGGGACCCAAGGTCACCCAGCAACATGGCAAGGAGGGGTGGGGGCGTGTGGAGCAGCGAGCAGCCCGGACAGAGGTCACGCTGGGCCCCCTCAGCGGCAACCTCAGCACCACTCGGAGGTCCCCACCTCACGGCCAGGTCAGCCTCGGCCTGCGGCTCTGTAGTAGTTCAGAAGGAGCCAAAGAGGAAGGGGAAGGTGTTCCAGGTGAGGGCGAAGGGGAGAGAAGGGCAGAGGCGGCTGGAGAAGAGCATGAAAGGTGTCCAGAAGCCAGCAGTGGCCCCAGACAAAGAGAGTAGTGATCGGGCCCAAGGCACAATAGCTGTACTTTGTCCTGATGTCCTGACACCTCTGATGTTCAGGGTCGCTCTCCCCGTGTGGGTGGAGGCTGTTCCCTGCGTGGGTAAAGAGGCAGAGCCTCTCTGAAGCTAGAAGGGAGATGGGGGAGAGAGGCGCTGAGTCTCACTGTTGTCTAAACATTTCTCCAAGTGGTTTCTCTGTGATGGAAGAAAGGTGTCTCACTCACTCCATCCCCCAACCCCCAGGTGCCTAGCAGGACACAGAGCTGATCCACAGCAAGGGTAGGAATAGAATCTGTTGAATGGAAGGAGAGAGAATTGGTTTGGTTTCCCTCAATTCTCTCTCTCTGTCTCTCTCTCTCTCTCTCTCACTAGGTCTTTACAATAAAGCAATGGGAAGATGAAGCGAAAGCAAGGAAGAAGGCCCTCTTTCTCCAGTGCCAGTATCATGTTCCCTTCTGGTTTTGGAGGTCTGACTTGGAGTAATGATGCCAACTGGGGAACAAGATTAGAGCAGAGGAAGCCCAGGAAGAGGAGCCAGTCAGGAAAAGGGGAGGGAAGAGGGAGAGGAAGCACAAGGGGCAGGGTAGGGTCACTGTCTGAGGGAGCACCCTACCCACAGCAGCCCCAGACCCATCAGCCACGTCTCTGCCCCTCCTTCACGGGCCTCAGTTTCATCCCCGAGCACCAGGCTGTCTCTCTGGATCGCTTCTCCCCAACAGCCCCAGGCATGTCCACTTCCTGACACCCCGACTTTGCCATCCCTCAAAGTCTGACCCCCATCCTGCCCACTGCTGCGCCTGTTAACACCCTCACCCAGTCTTGGAGGGAATCCCTCCGCTGGGAAGAAGGTGGTGGCAGAGGTGGCAGCTAAGGACCTAAAGCTGCATTCTCCCTCCCCACCTGGGCCATGCCTGGGAGCCGAGCTTTGTTCCAATTTGTGGATCTTTCCCAAAGCCTGACAGGCACCAGGCACTGTGCTAATATTATAGAAGATACAGGGACACCTAAGTAGAGCAGTGGAAAGCACAAGGACTCTGGATCCAAATGGACCCAAGTGGTACTGCCACTCCTTAACTGTGTGACCTTAGGCAAGTTAATCAACCTCTCTGACCCACAGTTCCCCTCATCTGTAAAACAAGAGTGAAAACACCCGCCTTAGGGAGTTGCTGCACACAGACAGCTGCCCACAGCTACCCAAGAAGGTAGGATGGGAAAGAGGCCCTGAGAGAGGCACAAAGTGTCAGGAAGGTACTGAGGCAGAGCAGTCAGACCGGCTGGAATGGGCATCAGGAAGGGCTTTCTGTGGGAGGTAGCTCCGGACATTTATTCCACAAGCAAAAAAAAAAAAAAAAATTTTGGCCACACCTTGCAGCTTGCGGGATCTCAATTCCCCAACTAGTGGTCGAACTCAGGGCCCTGGCAGTGAGAGCGCCGAGTCCTAACCAGTGGACTGCCAGAGCGCTCCCTCCACAAGCAAATATTAAACTCAGCCTATGAGCCCTGTTTTGGGCTGGGCCCCGGGGCTACAACAATGTAGAAGGGGCTTCCTGTGTGCGGGAGAACCAAAGAGTACACTGAAAATAGAAACTCTCTGAAGGGGCACATGATTGCTGGGAGTGGGAGAAGGCTTCCTGGAGGAGGTGACACTAAAGTCTTGCAGGAAGAGCAGGAGTCTAGTTCACTGAGTGGAGTGGGGATTGGGAACAGGCAGGGAAGTGGGGTCTGGGAAACGCTGCTGGCTCACCCAGCTCTCCCACTGCTCCCCTGGGTGACAGAGACTTTGAGGCTAGGCAGAGTAGGGAATTAGGGCTTCTTCAGAAACATTCCCAGCCAAAGTGCAAAGGGACAATGCTGCTCCCTCAGGGGGTGAGCCCCACACTGGTTTCCCCGCCTTCTGGGACAGCATGCCTCTGCCAGAGTATTTAAACAAACAAGCAGACACTAGAGGTAGGTCCAGCTCGCACGCTGAGCACTGCTG